AACCAACGCGTGCGCGCCTTCGATGAACGCGCCTAATAAACTTAATTAATTCGTTAGACCGCTTTTATCGTTAAATTACACGTTGCTCTCCTTGGAGAGAGGAGGAAAAAAAGAGGTTACACACGACCGCGCATATCGGGGAGAAGATTACATTAATTGAGAGAGAAGAGTTACCTAGGACCTTTTATATATCGGCTAAGCGAGCCGTTTCGTTCGACAGGTTCCTCTATTTCGAAGCCGTCGGATGTGATCGCCGGCGAAGACTCGAAAATCGGGGAACTCGAGATATTCGGTGTCTGCGGCCAGCGACGTGTAAGGTAAAAGTATCAACGTTTGGATATTAACAACACGCTGTTACACAACTCTGAACACTTCTGTTGTCTCTCTAGATACGAATACTTGAACTTTCAATGTAGAATATGTACATGCATATTCTCACTGCATTAAGAGTTTCAACATTCGTATTTAAAGCAATAAAAATGTCCAGAGTTGGATACCAGTGTTGTTATTGTCCAGGCATCGATGCTGGTTACCTTACCAGTCCGGAGCGAGTTGTGCCGGACAGCGACCGATCTGCGCGATACGTCATTTTTAACGATTCGTAATTTCATCGATCATCCATCATAGAAACATCATACAATCCTTTCCCAAACACATCCGACGTCGGTGTCGGGGCAACCCTCGGCGCAAATCAAGCGCGTTCCTACGCCGCGGCCGCGGTTATAGATTGATCGACGTAGAAGGAAGCGTTTCGGCCTCGTGGCGGCGGGAATCTGGAACGATCCCGGAGCGCGCGCGTCCGAGCATTATTCGACGCGCACGTCCGTAATCGACGCGATACGCGGCGGGTATTAGCGCCTATTAATGATTAATTGACCGGCCACGTCAGTGGTGTGCTCGCTCGTGTGCGTGTGAAGGTGCTACACGTTACACACTCCAGCCGGCGAACGAGGTATAGAGAGATAGATAGATAGATAGAGAGAGAGAGAGAGAGAGAGAGAGAGAGGAAGAAAGACAGAGAAAGAGAGAGGTCAACCTGGGTCAGATCATGCCTCGCGCCGAATCGTTAGAAAGTCCGCGCTCCTTTGCGTAGTGTAACGCTCTCAGTTAGGGAAAGATCCATCCATCGGCTCGATCCCATCGCCGCCTCGTCCCGATTGCGAAGCGCGCTGCTTTGATGCGAACGCGAGCGTTGTTAGCGCGAACGAGCGATGAAAGGGGTTCGCCGTACTTGGGTTGGGAGACCCAAGTTGCTTGTGCAATCGAGAGGAATCGAGAGGACCTCACCGGTGTCTTCGGCGTGCGAGTGAGCGCAAGGAGAAAGAAACGTTTGTCTTTCGTCGATTACGAGGGAGCAAACCGCGATGGTCTCCGTTACGTCGATCGATTCGCGGTGTTAATTGATTGTCGCCACAGTAAGGTAAAACACTTCAGTTACTGGCATCATCCTAATGTCCGTTTTTACCAGCGTGAATTGGATCTTAATCTGAGTTTAAACTCTATTCAGATAGACTTAAACATAGGTTCAGATTTAATCGAGCACTAGTCCTCGATACTCTGGAAAAACTTGGTTTTTCTTGCGAATACACTGAGAGAAAAAATTGATCTAACGCAAATTATAGTCATTTCTGGCCTGTTTTAACACGGAAACGGCAGTAGTGACATAAGATTATTATTACTCACATTACAGCAGAATTTAATAAAAAAAAATGTTTTCTCCTCTCTTCACCATAATTTATAATTATTTCTCTTTATGTGATTGTACAGTAACAAATACCAAAGATTTTTCTCAAAGTGCCGCATTGCGGTTAAGCTTCTTGCCTGCATTCTATGATATTCCAAAAGAGATCTTCACAACGGATGGTCGCAAGAAAGACCAGGTTTTTCCTAGAACGTCTAAGGGGATGTCAATAATTCGATGTTTTGCCCTAATCGTCCCGCGTTTTCCTTTCTTCCTTTCTTCTCTTCCCCGGGACGGTGCTTCGCACCGTCGAACGAGAGTGAGCGCACGATCCACGATAATGCGCGGCAGATCCGGATAAGGATCGCCGCCATAATTCGAGCTGATCTACACGGAGGGATCGCGCCTCTTCTTCGCCGTCGCCGATCGGTTCGCGGTATTCTTGCGCGAGAAAGAGATTAGAATCGACCGTAATTCCCAGGGGATCCGTCCGCCTTATTCGCCGCGTCGGGAGATCGCACCTCGCACTCGAAATTCATCGCGGTGATTCGACGACGAGTCTCGAAACGCGCGGAAGATGGGATACCGATGTAAATGACGATCGTCGCGCGGCGACGAGGCCCCGGCGTGTTACCGAGAATATTACGACGGCCGCGCTTTATGAATCCCGAGCGATTTATTTGGGTTTCGCCTGTGCGCGTTTTAATGACCCGATATTGCGTATTCGCGTGATCGCCGCGTTCGGCCGCAAAGAGGAGATCGGACGAGCGAGAGAGAGAGAGAGAGGGAGAGAGAGCTCGTCGTCGTCGTTGCATTCGCATTAAATCGAATTTACAGCGAACAAACGCGGCCCCCCATAAATTGGCGGCCGTCGGAATTAATTATCGCGACCCCGTCGCGATACAGAATCGATCTTGTAGCGCGAAGAGGAAACATTCGTCATGATACACGCACACCTGCGCACCTGCCTTTAATATCGAGGAAATATTCACGAGAGCCACTCGCGGGAATCGTTATCGCGTCTTCCACGACGCGTTCGCAACAGGCGAGCGAACGACGTTTAGCGGGGCTTCCTCTCGAACGTTGATCCTCGAGAAATGTAGCGGGGCCCCCGGAGGCCTGTCAGTTTCGATTATCCTCGGCTATCGTTAGGCCCCGATCGCGCGAGCGCGCGAAGAGGATCGAAGAGGAGCGAGGAGCGCGCAGTAGTAGTCGCGCGCGCGGTCCTCGAAACGTCAGACTGTCAGGGCCGTAAATTTTTGCGCGGGCGCCCACCTCGCGTCATGCATATTCATGAATACTCGAATGTAATCGAACGCCGGCGAGAGAGGAGGGAGAGGGAGAAAGAGGGAGACTACCAGGGTCCTCGAGTGCTTCGATCAGCCGTCGACTCGATTCAAGAATGACGAGGGCCAGCCACGAGTGTATACCGCAGGTAAGGGACTCAAGGACCGGCTCCTCTTCCGCGGCGGACACCACCACCATCACCACCATCACCATCACCAGCCGTGGCCGCGGAGAATACCGCTCCGAAGCGGCCCCATGCACTTTACATGCGAGGAGATACCCGCGACAGAGACCGAGACGACGTTTCGCACGACACCGGATTCTTATCTCGCGAAGGAGATACCTCGCGAGAAACGCGCGTTCCCAGCGCGATGACGAGCTCTCCGCCGAGAGTCGTGGCGTGCGTTATCGCGACGTGATCGAATTTAAGTTCGTGCAACTTTGATATCGATACAGGCCGCCTTCGTTAAGGCCGGTAAAGTGTGTCGCGACAAGTGGACGACACGTCCAGTCGCCGAGCGAGAAATTTATGAAGCGCCCGTCATCGACATTTACGCCGCTTATCGTCGCGCTCGTTCTGGAGCAAGAGAGAGAGACCGCGCACTCCGGCTCTTAATTTTTCGTTGCGAAACCGCGGCTGCCCAAAGTGAAGTGAGAGGAAATTGCGACTCGTGACACGGATGGGGAATTTTTCGAGCGGCGCGACGCGGCGCGGAGTCATGGCTCTTGCTCTTTGTCAGGTGTGAGTGAGCGATGTGACAGCCGGAGGAATAACTTCTGTCACGAAGCCGCCGAGGAGTGGCGCGGATCTGCACGCCGCGCTCGTGACACCGCCGATTCGCCGAGCATGGAAGATCGTATCGCGTGTACATCTTTATACACATATACTTTATATACATACATCTTATACGGAAGATAAGCGTGTCGGGTTATCTGTAATTAATCAATTTGCGTCTACCAGGCGGCACAGCCCCGATAATTAAGGCTCGCCGTTTTATCGCGAATTTTATGAAACCATTCATCTCCCGAACGATTGCGGGTGGGGACTGATAGAGAAGGAGGAAGAGGTGAAGGTGGTGGTAGTGAAGGAGGAGTCCCCGCGTCGAGAAAGTGGACCGCGCCCTAGTTTAACGACAAGAGGTCGTTACCGCTAGGCGAAATGGTGCGCTTCTAAGTGGACGGATGAGCATGATCGCGGATAATTTTAGCGGACACTCGAAAAAGCCACTCGCGCACAACCACGCCCGCAGCCTCCCGGAGCAGGAGAGAACATTAAATGATCCATAAAAACTACGTGTGTGTGTGTGTGTTGTTGCAAGCGACGAGATCGCGTTCGCGGGCGCGTTTTGCCCCGGGAAAAGAGAGAGATAGAGTGAGACGGTGGGAGGAAGGAGGAGGGAGAAAGTATAGGTGAGGCGAACTAGAGAGGGGGTGGAGGGTCGACGTTAGCTCCGAGGGGTCATTACAGAATTCTCCTAGCTGGCGAGCCGTCTCTCTTTCTCTGTCTCTCTCTACTACCCGATGCTAGACTGTCCGGATTGACTGATGTCAGGTCATTCGAAGCATTCAGGTCTCGTTGCCTCGTTGACGTGTGGGAGTCGGCAAGGTATTGCGCGACGGACCGAATGGCGCTCGTTTTGCGCTCGCTTCATTACCGGGTCGACTTTCAAAAGCAATTAAAAGTAGTACGTGTTATCCGTACGTGACTCACGCGCAACCGAACAGAGTTGGCCGAGTTAGAGACTGGCTTGTCTGTTTTAACGACTGAACGAATCGTCGGATCGTTGCCACATGGGAGCTTCTCCCACGCGGTCTTCCCCACATAATGATCTCCTTCTGCCGGATAAAATCGCCACGACGAGATTTGAGGGGAGGAATAATTGCCGCGCTTTGTCGTGCGCCTCAATGGAGGCGTTCGGAAACTCGCTCGCCTTGCTTGAACGCAAACAATGACGCAAACTCCGCGGCGGTTTCTCGTGCGGAAAACCGCATCGCATATGAAAGAGGAAAGTCCTGGGATTGAGTCACTAACCTGGGCGTATTCGGCGCAGATGTCGATCGACGAGACGTAGTTGACGACGTCCTCGATGGTCCAACGATTCACCGCCTGTCCGTCACCGCAGGGCATGTGACCGCACAACGATGGACACCTGACGGGCGGCGGCGTGGTCGGTCTCGCAGTGGGTTTCGGTTTGGGAGACACGCTTTCGGATCTTCGCGTTTCCGTCCTCTGTCGTTTCCGAGGCGCGAAGCCACCGGGGCTCGAAAGATCCAATGGACTCGTCACTCCCGCGTCTCTCTTGTTTGCGCCTGTGTCAACAAGTGCCACGACACGTCTGGCTTTTACTCGCAGTCACCTCGGCGATACGCCAAATATTGGAATACGATGGAGCAACAAATCAAATGCCTTCTCCGCGATAATTAAACTCTGATTTTTTTTCCAACGCTTTTCAATTCAATGAAAAAGATTTAAATAAAATTGATAAAAGAATAAAGCAGGAAAAGAGATGGAGAGGAAAGACGCAATGCATTCTTACGACTTACTTACCTTTCAGATATGTCTCCAACTCGGCAGCGTTCTGAGCAGCATTGGCAGTCCGTACCATGTGTAAGAGGGCTTGAGTGGAAGACATATCGATCATAGGTGGGAACACGGGATTGCCGAAGAGGCTGTCTTGCTTCTGCTCCTTCGGGTCTTTGTTCGAGAGTGGCGAGGTCGTTGGGACAGTCGGTGGTTGCGGAGCGCCTAAAGGCGCCATCAGACCGACAAACGGCGTCGCCGCGGTCTTGAAGGCCGGAAACCTCGGGTCCAAGCCCGGCGGATAACCGTTCCTTGGTGTGCTAAAGTAACTGAAACAATCGATCGAATCCCGACGATTAACTCCCTATCAAGCGCCGGGGATGCGCAGAGGCGCTTCCACGCGTCTACCGATCCCACACGTGCCGATCCTACAATGCTCCATTCAATTTGAAATGAGGCCGGAGCAAAAGATGTTTGGTATTTGCAGCTATAATCGCAGAGTCCGCTAATTAAATGTCAACGCAAGGGATCGATACAGTCTTGTCCTGATTATAATGTGTCAGGCGAAAAATTTAATTCAATTCTTGAGCCAAATATGACTTCATGGCGTTCAATGGAAACAAGTTATTCATTTGCCAAGTAACCGATGTCTTAGCAACTTCAAAGCCATTTTTTACTAACTTTCTGACGTGATTCACATTTCATATCGTAGAAGATGTCTGGTTTATCGTCAAAGAAAGTAAAGAAATCGAGCCGTTCCGCTTACCCAATACAATAGCCTTAATCAACTTCCTTTTCTTAGGAATTACGACTGCAAAATCAATCGCGCTATACTGCGAGAGCATAACCCGAGCAAGGCAAAGTGGCTACGTACTCGTTGGGGTTGGCGTTGTTGTACTTGGCGGCGAGGCTCCTCATGAAATCACTGTAGTTTCGCCCCATCATCTGCTCCATGTGCTTGAGATGATGGGGTGGCGGCGGGCCCTCGGGTCCACCCAAGGGCGTAGCATTTGGCGGCGTACCGGGATGACTCGACGAAGAAGGCGTCACGCTCCTCGACGACGTCGAGTTATTGTCAGGCGTGAGTCGTTCCGTCTTAACCTGCAACGACGGGGTCGCCCTTTTTTAAAAACGAGACCAATTGTCGTCACCGACAGTGCGAGATCGGGCGCGATAACGGGGAGCAGAATGTGCGCCAATTAAACGGCAATAAAGGGAACAGGCCGAAGTATTAATTAGCGGCCACGAGAGCGGCAGGTGCGATCAAAAGTACTTGATACCGCTTCGTTTCGCGTTGGAAAGAACGCGAAAAAAATTCATAATATATGTTTCCACGTTGTAAATCTGTCTTGTGTAACGTCAAGTTGTAGCGGTGAATAATTAAAATAGGTTTACTATCCACAGCGTTGTAAAAGTTCCACCTTTCCTTTTCTTTTTTTCCCACTTTTTCCCTCCCAACTAAATCCTGAGAACATTCGCCTCGTCGCAGGCGCGATGTATGTACTTCGACGACATGCACGGTTAATAAAATCCGAACTGCTAAGTGTCCTCGCGTAAAGCCGCCGTCGGCACGTCCGCAAGTCTGTTCGTCATTTCATCTTGTCCGCGACGACAATAATCTTGCTATCTTTATTACCGTCGCGCCTCACGTTCCGCGCGAAGGAACGAAGGTCGCAACAACGGCAGCGGTAGCATGGAGAAGCGTCGCGACTTTTAAAAGTCCTGCTACAATCCGCTCGAGTCTCGGAAAGGTTGATTTACCATATTTAAAGAATACTCAATTATATATACAGAACGCGATAATTGATGGTCGATTGGAAGATAGATAATTAGCCGCTCTCCATGCGCGAGCGTGCGGTTGCGCGACTCGCGCGATAAATGCCGAATGCAAATAATGAAAAATGACAGGAACAATGCAACAATGGACAATGAGACGACGGGAGACAATAAGACAAGGTCGCCGCGACTTGCGCGCGGATGATGGAGCTACGAAGGGAAAATTATTATTGCAAATCGGCTCACCGCAAGCGCGATAAGGAGACGTTCGTGTTTCGTGCCACTGTACCAACCCGGCGTGATCTTGTTCGACTAATCTCGCCCGCGTGACTCCTTAAAGGCATGTCGTGCCGTGAAAAGTTTAAAAGTGTAGGTAAAAAAGAATAGTGTGCTGTGTATGTGGGTAGTTTGCTAATACTAGGTTAAAGGCGTTAGTGGTGTTCTATTTGACTTCATGTTAATGTGTATGTGTGTGTGTGCACGCACATACATCTTGTGTGTGTATATACATATTCAGATCATTCACACATAGTAAGACAGTCCTTACACCTCTAACGGATTGATATTTTAGGCTTTCGCGGTGTCCATGTATATTAGATTTGGTTTCCGGGTTTGAACTACGTGGATTTTTCTTCGTTTAATTCCGACATTTCGCGAACATTTCAATCCGCTTCATCAGGGAGGAACGACCCGATACATCTGAAATGTTCGCGAAACGTCGGTATCAAACAAAGAAAAACCTCTAACGGATTACTCGGAACGTGTTGTTTTTTATCTTATCGACCAGATATATTCCAGCATATGGTGCAATCAAATCGTAATTTACAAATTTCTTTAAAAGTTAATCTTCCAAACTGTATCTTCCGGCGGTGTCATGATATTCTCACAGGTCTGTGTGGCGGTCAACTTTCGCTTTGCGCATATAAACTCTCAATGTCTTACATAAAGCGAAAATAGAATGCGGGGTCAGCGGCAGATGCCATATAAAATGGTAGTTATAAAAATTGTTCTCTTACATCTCGTGTAACACGGGCTGCAACGCCATGCATTAACATACGTACATTCACGCTGTACAAGGATTTGCGATTCTGCAGAGCCGAGTAAGAAAAATTCGCAAACTACGAAAGCTGGTAACAATCACGGCTCCGACATCCCCTTAACGTTAACAAACGAACTTTACGCGCGCGAGAGAAAAGACCCTGTCCCGTTCCTCCCCAGGAGAAATCAACGACGGCACCACGCCTTCGACCCGCGAGACGGACATCGTCGGCGCAGCTCGGCGCGGCTCGGCGCGATACGTTTCGCTCGCGGGAGAGGCCCGCGAGAGACGGCGGGGAATATCTCTCGGTGCATTAATTCCCGGGAACAGATTGCATCTGAGATATGGTAATGAAGGCAACGCGTGGCGTAAGAGTCGACTCCTCTCCGGCGCGGCGAGAGAGCGCGCCGTGACACCAAGAAGAACGAGAGTCGATTGGCGTAGAATAGGGTCCCCGAGGAGCAGCCGCTCTCGCAGAGGCCGCGGTAAATCTCTTTCTCGCCCGCGGACCTCTTCCTTGACAAGGAACCGCTCCGGGCTCCACGACGCGAACACGTTCTCGTATATACGTTCCGAATGGGTTCCGGTCGGCGCGAACGGTCTTCAGGGAGAACGCACCGAGGAGAGGCGAGAGACCGCACTTTAACGAGCGATCGACGGCTCGCGACGAGGGATTTCGACTAGTGTGCGGGCGTAGATGCGGAAAACGATCGTTCTCCTGCGGTGAGAAAGCAACCGCAGACTGCTCGATCGCGATGCTTTGCGTACGAGATGTGAGTTGGTTTTTTCAAAGACTCCACGTCACAGTTGCGAAGAGAGAAAGTTCTTCACACTCATCGTTTCGTCGAATTACGGGGATAGTGCCGCGAAGGCATGACGAAATAAATTGAATATTATCATACACGTGTCGCGCCAGAGAATTTCCCCCCGTGTGATGGAGCACTGATCTGCCCCTGCCGAATATTTCCAGCCGAGTGAGAACTAATCCCGCCATTCTTATTCATCGACTCGCCAGATTCGCCGCGGCGGAATCCCGATACCGGAAAGCTAATAAGTCAGGACGAGAGAGGCCCACGGGCGATTAATTTCTCGAGTCGCCGGTATCCCTCCGACATCTACCTATTCATGCGAGTTACGGGTCTACGCTAAGGAGAAATTCCCGCGCGTCACGGACCGACTATTCTTTCTAACGACGAACGTCAATTTTTTTACCACGCTGCTGCCAAACAGCCACCGAAGATTCCTCTCCTTTTCTTCCTCGACTTTTTTCTTCCTCTCCCTCGGCCAAATCGTTTACAGAAGCGTCGAACAGGTCGGCGCGGATGTCAACGGCGGAATGACACTGCGGTTTTCTTGACGCGGTTAACATAGTTACCGGCTCGCTCGGCTTCAAACGGGACTCCACGTGTGCACGGGGGGGCTGGCTACTACCACGAGCCGAGTCGTAGAAGCTCTCCTCTCGTCGAGGATATCTCTCCCGGTTGGCGCACGTGTCCACCAAGTGGTGGACGAAAGCTCAAACACTCCGCTTCGCGGAAGAGCGGGCTCTCACGGAAAATTTGTACGACAAATCTCGCGAGGGAAGAAGAGTAACTAAAAATTCCACACGCGCGACGCGCTCGTACGACGGTCACGTTACGTCAACACGCGAGCCAAGCCGAGGTGTACGTTTGTCTACGCGCGTGGGGAAGCCTCGAATCGTCTAAGAATTTAACCGCAAACACGCCAAGCGCGAGCAACGACTCCTCCGGGCTCTCTCTCTATCTCTCTCTCTCTCTCTCGCAGAAGCAATCGTTGATCGGCCGCGAGGAAGTGAACGTAGGAAATTCGCGCGAGAGGGACAGGGGGATATCGATTACATTGTTCTCAGGGTATCGATCGTGTATCTATTCCCCTAGCGTGAACTCGTGAAAAGTGAAAAATTTCACGTAAAAAAATGTTTCCATTTCCATTGTTCGAGAAGTTGCATGATCGCTCAAATCGTCGAGTTCACGTTTTTCACCTTTCACGCGTTTTCGCTTTTAGGAAAAAGTTACATGATCGCTATACCGAGGAGAACGAAAGCGCGGTTATCTTTCTGTTTCTTCCTACAAAGGAGCAAACAACTCACCTGGGTAGTGTCGAGACCATTCTGGTTCTGCCGCCTCCTACCCCTTGGTGGCCTCGGGGTTGCCGCACCTGACAGGTGGGCACCCTGAGGGCTCCCGCCCCTGGCGTCGACCGCTGTGTTCGCTGCCAGGGTGTCCCCGTCGTTGTTTTCCGTGTGCGTTCCTAAATCCGCTGCCTCTCCACGGTCGCCGCCACGTGGTCCTGTACCCGTGGACACGCTCTCGCCCGACACCTTACCTGAGGACAAAAAGGCAAACGAAGACGTTAACCTCGGATCGGCCTACGAAGTCCGTTAAATGTAATTTCAAAATTGTCATTTGTCATGTCATTTGTCGTGTCTATCTTATTTTATTCTATCGAGTGGCAAAACTCAAGAGACTCAATTGACTCTCTAAAAAGACGTCAAAAAACCTCGACGATCGCGCGAGGAGCAAATTCAGAAGCGTCGTGGTGAACCAAGTGGTAAATTCGTCGTGTATTTAGGCGCGCATTCGTTTCTCTCTCTTTCTCTCTTTCTTTCCATCGCAAGAGAAGAAGTGGGTCCCGAGTTTCGTAACGAGGAGGCGGCAGGTAATGTCACAGGTAATATCGCGCTAACGTCGTAAAGCTTCCTCGACGTCGCGTCGTCGTGTAAACGGTGTCTTTCGACACAGGGAATTTAGATGAAATACGCGAAGAGGGATAACCGTAGGACACGATTACGCACGGTGGCGGCGCTTAGCCACTGACACCTGAAGATTTACGCACAATAAATGGCCCCGGCCGTAGGCTGGCGCTATTATCTTCCATCTCGATCGGAGACGCGTATCTACCGAGGTCGAGAGAGAAAGGAGTAACGAGGAAAAAAGACAGAGTGACGGCGCGGAGGAAGGAGGAAAGATGGGAGGAGGAGGGAGGTCGGACGGGAGGGTCCCGAGAGGGGGTCAGTGGCCACCGCGGCTCTACCGAAAATATCCAATAAATTCTTGTCATCGTTAAGCGCCGGGAATTTTATGGAGGCAGTAACTCGTCCGCAACCGCCGAATTTGCCGGCCGATACGATCGGCCGCGGTTAATGCAGCGGTTGACGCCGGTCAACGGTGCCGGCAACGGTGCCGAGGAACACGAGATATGAGGTCTTCCTCGTCGCGCGCGACGGTACCGCGCGAGTTACAGTTTTTATCGCGATTCCTTCGCGTGTGGCGAACACGGTGTTTTTCGTCGATTGGCGATCCTCGCGGCACGCTGCGCGGACAGAAACACTTCCGTGCGGGTAACAATTCTCTCTTCGAATAATACATCAGAGCGTATCTCAAGATATCTGAAGAAGATATTATGGAAAAAAAAAATAGGATCCATCAGAAACAGTGCGAAATTAACGCGGGAACAATCGCGGATTTTTTAGAGCAATTTCTCTTAAAGTGAATCGGTAAAAAAAAATGTTTCTGATTGAATCGGCAACAGGACTGTTTTACCGATTATCAGTGAGCATCCACTGATTTTCAGTGATAATACTTTCACTTTTGCTTCTCTGTCTCATCTTCCACTGATTTTGGACTAAAAAGAGCGAATTTTCACTACAAAATACTGCCATGTACAAATTCGTTATACATTTGTACTAAATTCAATTTTCTACGTTCATAACGATGAAATTAACAGTTTCCGTAATTTGCGTGCTGTGATACTGTTTGTATTTATAAAGTGCACCAATAATGAAAATAGTCGCTACTATCAACTGATCCTTTCAGTTTTTGTACCGAACCATCAATTATAAATATAGCAATTATAAATACAACAATTAAAAATATAGCACAGACTCAGTGAAGAATACACTGATTGTACTTCAGGCTGAAAACTAAATTGTCACACGAATCTGAGTAAATTTAAGAAAACGCAAAGCCAACAACCATATCCCGAAGTAAAGCGAATCGTGGTATCGACCACGAACACGGCTGATACTTGCGTCGAGCGTGCTGATAGCACTCCGGATAGTACCCGGAGAATGCTGTCGGAGGATACACGATAACGGAGTCCGAGTGTCAATCGAGTTCCTACCGCTTCCGCTATAAACCCATACGGAAGTGCACAAACATTGTGATTCTTTTTATAATGTTCAAAGTTCGCGCCAGTATCCATTGGCGGACGCAATCGCGCTACATTCTGCGGCCCGATCGTGCGAAAGCGGCGCGGGATACAGGCGAGAGTAGCGATCGTAAAAGCCACTTGTATGACACTCACTGCCGAATGTCTTCATTATTTCCAGTTAAAATATTTACAGCTGCCCATAAAAATTCCATTAGGCGCTATTTGCCGGTCGGGGAAACTGTACTGCCCGTCTATCACGACGGAGGCGCGAAGGTACGCGCCACGAGAGCGGCCGCGGCGGCAGAGAGTGGAGATGACTCGCCATAAAAGACGTCCAAATAGTTATAAAATTGGAGAGTATGCGGGCACCAAACATTGTGTGTTGGCACCGTTTGATGACGCGCACCGAGCCAGCCGTTAATGAGGATGACGGCAATGGTATGTCGAGGCGCGTCACAGCGCGCGTCCGCTAGCGATGACTTTCGTAGAGAGAGGAAGGACTTAATTAATTTTAATGAATTTCAATAGTGCCGTCGCCCGGAGGCCCGATGATTTGTAGACTGCTAGAATTTACGGCAGCCCATTAAGTAGGAAATATTAAGTACACGGGCCGACGAAAAGTCCGACCTCGCTTATAATCGGTCCGTTGAGAGATCGTGACGAAACGAGGGGCGGGAGAAAAAAGCCCGAGAGGAGAGACCTCGTCGATTATATGAATTCCCCGGGTTGATAAAAGCTACGAGCCCCGTGTCGAGAGCACGTTGTCGGGCTTATCTTTTCGAGCGGCAGATCTCCAGCGGCGCGCGAACTCTCCTTTTCTCTCTCTCGTCGGCAGCGTATCACCTTTTTCCGCGCTCGTTTCTCACGTTTTTCGCGACTTTTACGCCGGCGGTAGCGCGTCAGCGGCACGTACGACAAATATCGTAACGACACACCGCGGGAACTCCCAAGGTAGTGAGAGGCATTGTTTGAAGATCGTTCGTGCGCGTTGTTCTGTTGGCCGAGTTCGGGCTTGGCGATATTTGCATAGTTGCGGGAAAAAAAGATCTTAGCAGCCACGCTCGCAGAATTCGCTAAAATCCGAGTCGAAGAGAGACACGCGCGAAAGACAGACAGACAGACAGAGAGAGAGAGAGAGAGAGAGAGAGAGAGAGAGAGAGAGACGCATCGCGGACGCGTGTCTGCGCGACCAGTTTCATCATATTAATAAAAAAAGATAATTACATTAATGGAAGGAAAGATATAAATTGCGTTACGGATAATTTAACAGAGCGATGCAATAAAACTCGCTCGTCACACTCGAGAGCTGTCGGTGACACTTATGAATTCTCAGTCGCGCATTCGAGAGGCGCGAGAACAGCTCACCTACGGTATCCGTCGTTCCCCTTCGAGCAGCCTCCAAGCGGATAAGCGCCGCGACAAGTGCTTCACCCTGAAAAAGTTCGCCGCGATTCTCGCCGCGCATGCGAACGAGGGAGGCAGGTTAACAGAGCGGCTGTCACCACGGCCAATACTGAGAAGGAGCGCGCGAGACCCGGACTGTGTGAAATATCGTAACGACGTGCTAAAACGAACTAACGTGCAACGCACGTATCAACGCACGTCGCGACAACGTCCGCTGCATGCGAGCCGCAGCGCGGACTCCACGGCGCGCCTCTTCGCCGCGACGCAACGAAAGTGCGAGTCTGAGCCGCACCTCGGCGGCGGAACGGCGTCCCGTTTCGCAGACGACCGAGATGGACGAAGGAGTGTGTTCTCCTTGTACTTTCGTATCCGACACGGGGAAGTAAAAAGCAGGGCATCGATCACGAATTTTCTCGCAAGAACCCGATCGTAGTTATCAATCATTTGTCATTTTTTTCCCCATTAGGAAATCATGAAAAGTGAATATTTTGCAGAGCACCTGGAAGCGATCGTAAAACTTGTCCACCGATGTAAAAATTTGTGAAAAGTGCACGTATATCTGCGAGATTAGATTTTTCACGAGTTCACACTAGAGGAAAAGGGTCACGATTGACCTCCAGAAGTGGTTTGACGCTAAAAAGCACGCCAAGTAGAGACGAAGGAGGCGTGATCTGTCGTTTGGCACGCGCTCGCGCGCGTAAACAGTAGTTTGCGTCTGATTTTATCTATTATATCGCGTATCGAGACACGCGCGCATGTAATTTACCGGTTCCAGCGGTGTGGCAAGACTATTCGTCGCTTAACTATTTCGTTCTCTGGACGAGACAGCTTCGGCGAAAAAGAGAACCGTCGGGGAAGACACCGCGAGATGAAACGCGCAAACCAACACACGCACACACATACGCACAGGCACACACGAGCATACGTACGGGCGCGCACACGGGGAGCTCATAGTAATAGCGCATACCGTAGTCATAAATTATCCGGCGCGACCGCGGCTAAAACGAATTGACCTTCGAGGTCGCACACGGAGTACCGCGCGACGGGAATAAAGCCGGCGGCCCTCCCTTCTCCGGGTCGGCGTTAATTATTCTCGCGTTAAGAGTTTGAGGAATTCCACCCGGCTGGGAATTTTTCCACGATCGTCCGGCCGAGATAGAGGCGGACCGGGAAAGAGTTGCGTAACGCGCCGCGATATGGGATCGATGATCCAGCATCCCCGTCCGACCCGCAGCGACGCACAGCGGGAAATGCGGCTCCTGAAACGCTTCCGCAGCCTGCGCGACGCATTGTTCGACGAGTGACCCAGAAATTCGCGCGCGTTTGTTCTCACACGTGTGAACACACGTGCGCGCGAGAACGTGTAATTTAACCCTCTCGATGTGACGCGGACGAGCGCACAGTTCTTGCGACCAGGCGATGATACGGCCGTGAAGGACAACTTACGAAAGCAAAATTTGCATCCCCGCGGGAAATGTCGCGAGTAAAAATGATATCCACGATTCTAAGTCGATTAATTTTTTCCTAAATTTTCTAAATTTCAAAAAATTTCCGTATGTATAATTTTTTATTTATCTAAATTTCTTCTCAAAATTTTTGGTATGATTTTTAATTCAATTTCTCCAAATTTCAAAATTTTCATATATATATATATATATATATATATATATATATATATATGATATTTAT